CTGCTGTTTGGCCTTCGAAGAAGGGAGGTAACAACTCCTCCTCCTCCTCCTCCTCCTCCTCCTCCTCCTCCTCCTCCTCCTCCTCCTCATTCTACCTCCTCCTCCTCCGCCACCTCCGCCTCCTCCTCATCAACATCATCATCATCCTCATCCTCCTCCACCTCATCCTCCGCTTCCTCCCCCTCGTCCTCGTCCTCCTCCTCCTCCTCCTCTTCCTCCTCCTCCTCCTCCTCCTCCTTCTCCTCCTCCATCCTTACTCCTCCGTACTCCTTCCTCATTTCTCCTGCTTCCTCCTCCTCCTTTTCCTGCCCGTCTCCTATTTCTGAAAACGAGCTACTTGTGCCTTAAGGGTCGGGTACCAGAATCTGTACAGACTCGGTGATTCTCACCTGCAGGAACACGCAGGAGGAGGAAGGGACAGGCCAGAAGGGCAGGCGGAAGGAAGGGACACGACCGGGGGGTCAGGAGGAACGAGGGAGGAGGGAGAGGAAAGGAGGCAGGAGGAGAGACAGGGCGGAGAGGGAAGCGGGCAAAACGAGGGGGAGAGGCAGGACAAGCGAGGAGCGAGGGAGGAGGGAGGAGGGGGTGAAGCAGAAGAAAGGAGACCGAGGGGCGGAGCGAAGCGGGAGGAAGAGGGGAGAGCGAAGGCGGGAGGGGCAAAGGAGCAGGGAAAGGGAAAAGGGAGGAGCTAACGGGCACGCCACGGCGAACCAGCCGCTCGTTGACCGTGGATGGCGAAGGTTCGGCAAGGAGGACACATGAGGCACACACGATAAGAAACCGTGCTACGAGAAATCTCGGGGCACTTGCGTCGTCGAGTTTTGAACTTCCTGGGGTGCCCCAAAGCTTCTGTGCGCTCCCAGGGCCCTTAGGGGGGATGAGACATTTCCGTGGCTGGCAGATCGGCTTCTCACCATGACGTGCCCGCTGTATCCGAGGGTCTCCCTGGAACGCGCTGGACGCTTCGGGCACGCTCAGGGGGTGCGCGCGGGCTGCCTGAGAGCCGAGGCGGGCCACCTGTTGGACGCCTGTGCGGCCGCCTGGAGAGCACTTCGGGGACGTCGGGGGAAAAGGCTCTCGTGGCCTTGCTGTGGCCGCGCCTGGGCCCTCGTCGCGCGTAGTGGGATCGTGTTGCAGTATCTCGGAACTTGTCGGCGCTCGCCTGGGCCCTCTTGACCTCCTGTCGTGGGCCCTCTCGAGGCCGTGTCGGGGCGTTCTGGGCTCGTCCTTCGGGCCTCTCTAGGGCGCCGATGGCCGTCTTGGTGCCCTCTTGAAGCGCCCCCGAAGTAACCGGCAGGAGAAAAGCCTGAGAAGCAAAAGATTGTAAAACCTTACGTGGTGCTATGTTGGTGGGGCATCGTGGAGCACCTGGGAGCTCCTCTCCAAGCATCTTGTGGTCTCTGAGGGCCGTCCAGGACTCATTTTGAAGCGTCCTTGGCCATCCTGGACCATCTTGGTGGCCCCTGGGCGCCCTAATGAATCATCTTGGAAGCCCCTTGAGGCCAACACAGCCCCCCCGAAAGGCCCCCAAGGGTTCCTGGACCCTCGAGGCTAAAATTGGTCATTGGGGGGGCGGGAAAAGGGCGCTGCCCCTGGGCCAAGTGCTACGGCAGCAACGCGCAGGCCTGGTAAGAGCATCCGGTCAGGAGCACATCACGGCAGAGGGTCAGAGCGCGCGTGGCGTGCTCGCCCTCTCGGGCCAGAGTTTCAGGGTACTGGTCAACCATCTCTGGTCCAAGGCAGGACGTGCTGTCGCTGCAAGGCCAGTGTAAAGCAGTGCTGGGCGCTCCTCCACCTCCTCGCGGACGAGCAAAAACTTCGAGGGGGGGAGCGTCGATCAAGGAGATCGAGAAAGGGAATGAAGGGAAAGAGGGTTCGACGAGGGATCTCGAGGGAGCGGCGTCGAGAAGGGAGGTCGAGGAAGATCGAGGCGGACAGAGAGGAGGGAGGAGGAGGAGGATCGAATGAGGAGGGCGGCGAGGAGGGCGAGGGTGAGCGAAGAGAGGGGGGGCATCGAAGAAGCACGAAAAGGAGGCCCAGGGAGGGAGAGCGAAGAGGGGGAGGAGGAGGGAAAACGAGGAGGGAAAGAGGTGGGCAGCAGGAGGAGGAGAAGGAGGATGAGGCTGAGGAGGAGGAGGAGGAGGAGGAGGAGCAGGAGGAGAAGAAGGAGGGGGGGCAGGAGGGGGAGGGGGAGGAGGAGAAGGAGGAGGAGGAGGAGGAGGAGTGCGGAGGAGGAGGAGGAGGAGCAGAAGGAGGAGGGGGACGAGGAGGAGGAGCAGCTGAAGGGGAGGACCTCTGCCTGGCAAGTCCTGCCCCGATTTTCTCGCATGCGTCCCCAGAAATGGCAACCAGAATCAAGTTCGGTAATTCAAAAGGGCCCAAGGAGATACACATTGACACAACTCACCGGATTCCATTTTTCCATTGCCCATACTTTCCTGCATGCTCCTGGAAATCGGCATTGGTGTGTGTCTGTGTCGATCGACTCTGTGTCCCCCCT